CATTCATTTTTTTTATCAATGGCTAAGATTACATTACTTTATTTTAGGAAATTAAAAATTAAAAAATAATTAATATTTATTTTATTTCATCAATAAGGGTAGAATCGGTAAACAAAGGTAACATTAATGTCTATGCATTTAAATAAATTTAATTCATAATATTTTTTATTCAAGGCAACCATATCAGGTAAATTATATTATTAATGAAATTGATTCACTTTGTGAAGTAATATACTATTTTAATGTTAACATTTTTTAAAATAATATCCATCAATAAGTTATATCAAAATCAAAACACAACATATTCACTAATGTATAATGAATAATTTCATAAAAAATTAATGTAAATGATCATATTTCATTGTTTAATACGCTTATTAAATATTATGATTTTGCAATATCGAGTTTCATTATCATCATTTGATATTGAAACTCATTCATATTTTGCAATGATGAATCGATTTTGTATATGCACCGGTTTCATTTAACATTTCATCTACTTAACCATTCACCTCCAGCATCATTGTTCATGTCTTAAAGCGGTTCATTACTAACTGTTCAATTACATTATGAACCCGTTTCAGGGACATGCACACGTTACATTTGTAAATGAACTCGTTTCATTGTCAAGTATCCAAATACACGGATCATCATCACACACAATGCAACATGGATCACCATGAAACTTGAAAATGAATATGTTTCATCATCATGAAACGAGTGCATGAACATGTTTCATCATGAAACGAGTGCATGAACTTGAAAATGAATATGTTTCATCATCATGACCTGGAAGTAGATGAACATGTACAATATAAATAAAAGAAGCAAATAAAACATTTTATAATGAAACCTTCTGATATGAACATTAATTGCATAAAGAATGAAATATATTATGCACACGTTTCATTATGATGAAATCTTTTCATTATGCATTTAATATAATATGCAACCGTTTTCTTCGTAATGAAACCTTTTTCATATGAACATTAATATATTATGCTATGGTAATATGAAACCTTTTCATTTTAAAACCTTTTTCATATGAACATTAATATATTATGTTATTGTAATATGAAACCTTTTCATATGAAACATGTTCATAACCGGTAATTTTTGATACAATGAACCTCAAATCATTCATTCATTACATAACAAGATAAAATCTTCATGAATGTTTCCAGCTTCATTGAATAAAAAAAAACAAATCAATTTTTAATATTATAAAATATTAAAATCTTTAAATCATTTTCATTATTAAATTTCCTTATTTAATATTCATTAATAACTTTCTTATTTATGAAAAAAATAATGAAAATGACCAAAGTGACCTTATTACTTAAATTTAATTAAAAAAGAATGAAATTTTTCTATTGGTCAATTTTGGTTTACACGGTTTTTTAGAATGACATGGTTTTCATTTGAACCTGCCCCTATATATATATATATAATGTCATACAAAGTAATTAAAATTGTTTCTTGATTTTTATACACATGTATATGTATATACCCGAAAGATTGCTTACAAATTACTTGTCTTATTAAATGGTTATTAGGTTCCTAATTTTTTATATTTTATTACAGTTTTCCCTTAATCTTACCCTTACCCCATACATATATTATATATAGGAACCTTCTTTTGAAATTATAATAACCTTGAATTTTTTTTAGAATCCATGAAATTGCATCAACCTAAAAAACTTGTGCACAATATGTTATTTTATATTATACAATACTAGGATTTAGAATATTGATTTAACATATATTAGTTTTATATGTGTTTATTTCACATATACTCAGTTCACATTATAAACATTCTTTATATATTTGTGAAACAAAAAATACACGTAAAAAAGTTTCACATTACGAACCAAATACATATGAAACAATCGCATTGTAAAACAAATATACATTAATCAATACGTGGATGGAAAAAATTATGTAAAACAAAATCTTATGATAATTATCATGGATCTCACCAGTTTTAGAGTTCTCAAATGATTAAATCCCTTATATATAAAATATGAAGGGGCTTATATATAGATATAGATAAATATATATATATATATATATATATAATATATATATATATAATATATATATAATAAAATTGCTAATAAGCAGCAGCAGTAGTAGTAGTAGAACAGCATTATGCAAAACATAATAAGCATTGGGGGTTGATTATACTTGAAAAGATGCATCGAGTAGCCGAAAAAGAAAACACACTCTCTCTCTCATAATAATCCAACCAATTACAGCTTATACTGCTGCAAAGTATTCCTTGCTGAGTTTAGGATCTGGCTTCATTGACTTCTCCCCTGGCTTCCATCCTGCTGGGCATACTTCATCTGGGTTCTCTTGTACAAATTGCAATGCCTGCATATACATATACATATAACACCACCATTCAGCCAACCGCTTGATAAATGTTCTCCTTTCAGATCATAAAAACTATAAATTTATATACCTGAAGTGTTCTCATTGTTTCATCTACGCTTCTTCCGATTGCTAGATTGTTAATCGTCGAGTGTTGAATTACCCCTTCCTTGTCTATTATGAACAGCCCTCTCAATGCTATCCCCTGAATTCAAACAACAGCAGCTTTACCACATAAAAAATGGTGTTCTCGATATCTTCTACCAAATACCAAGATTCATAAGATTGCGTACCTGGTCTTTGATCAACACATTAAAAGATTCTGAAATTGATTTTGTGACGTCAGAAATCAACGGATAGTTCAAATCACCAAGACCTCCAGACTTTCTATCTGTTTGAACCCAAGCAAGATGGGAGAACTACCCCAAAAACACATCACAATACCATCATCATTTATATGACAAACAAAGATCAAGATTATTGTCAGCAGTATGTAAAAATTATAAACAATAACTCAGCACAAGCTTCGACTGGTTCCCATTTTGAGAAACGAACAAAATATCTCATGCTTTAGAACAGCGTAAGCGTGCAAAAAGTTTCTAGATATTCTAAGATGTTTCAGAACTTGATCATCAAAAGGTTAGCCACTCATGTTGCATGCAATAAGACAAATAGCACCTAAGCTAACGGCATACCATTTGTATGAAATCACAGAAGACAGTTTTTTAGATAGAACAATAACCATTTGAACAGGATAACAAGCACTGATTATAAGCAAAATAGCTTTATGAAGAGCGCATGCAAATGAAAGCATATAGATCAAGTATGACATAAATCTCGTAATGCATCATTAGGCATACCACGCTGTCTACGGAAACACCCAATACTTCTGTGTTTAACTTCTCGAATTCAGCATACCGGTCGCTAAAAGCAGTGATCTCTGAATATAAAAAACAGGACGAGTAAAATGAGAAATTCTTTAGCAAGAGATATTTAACAGTATAAGAGGAGGAAAAAAGAAGTTAGACAAGCAATGGCGGACTCACCAGTTGGACAAACAAATGTGAAGTCCAGAGGGTAGAAGAAGAGTACCACATATTTCTTCCCAATATAATCAGAGAGCTTAACCTGCAATCACATCCTTCATAGAATTAAATTTTTATGACCAATTTATTTAACAAATGAGTGAAGAATCATTTCAACTACATTGATGAACTCTTGATCAAAAACGGCTTCTGCTTCGAAGTCTGGTGCCTTATTTCCAACTAATGGTAGTCCCTACATAAAAAATAAAGTCAAGATGAGAGATGGAGTTCACAAATTAGTCTGCAACTGAAGTAGGAATGATAGGTACTTGATGGCCATCATTTTCTAAATCCATTGGCTTCAAAATGAAATGGATATTTACCAATCAAGAATCATGGAATAGAATAGTATGCATGATCTTGTTCATGAAATAGGTTTCTTTTCCTAATTAGTGGATCATGGTAAGTAAGCAAATAAGATTACCAGAACTCTAAGACAATGACTTGAGATTCACTTTATAGACCCTGTTACTACATAATTGGGCAAGTAGCTGACAGCTTAATGTCTTCATAGATTCGCCATGATCGTGGTTAATAATACTCTCTCCGCCCAAAGGCACATAATTTAATAGAAGAGCTTGACCATTAGTCAAATATTTGAAATGGCCTTCAATATATACAAAATAGAGAAATCTTATGGACCAAAAAGCAATGCTGTTAATATCTTATAATATGACTACTAACAGGTAAATTGGAATGAAAACACCCCTCCCCCCGCCCATAGTCTTGTAGAATATTCGAATCCCAGTATTTATGTATCGTGCAACCATATCCTCATACATGTATCCTTCCAACATTGAGAGCAAAAGTAAGTAATCTTGGATGGAACTTGGACAAAAAAGAAAATGCTTCGTGAAACTTTTTACACTTATTTGGGAACATTTCAGTAGCTAGCTTCTTCAAAAAGTTAATGTAGATGTTACCACCTCCATCCAAAAGGAAGTTTCCACATTTGATTTTTGAATGTCAAACCACAATTCTTGAAAATTCATGATGATTAATCTATGTGCAAAGAAAGTTGAATACTACATTTAACTATACAAAGAGCATCATAATATAAACATCTTGGCCATAAGAACCTACAAAATTCTGTCAGATTTTCATTTGAAAAGCACTATGTTTAAAACTAAAAAGTGGAGTCATTCTTTGAGAAACTATTCTGGTGTTCCCAAAAAATAAGACTAGTTTTAACAATATCTGAATTTAATTGGAACCACGTTGATATTTGAGTTTGTCATGTCAATCTTATGGAGTAGCTACAGCTATTTTCATATCAGCCAACTTAGCCACAATAGCACCACATAAACCACATTCCACCTCTTCAAAATACATGTCGATTTGTATCACAACGTTCTTCGTTTCTTTTTGAAGCGTACAACATTTATGTACAGCAAATGACACACACTCCTCACTCTAGAGAGGTTTGAATTGAACCCTTGACCTCCTAAGAGGCCAGCTGCCAGGCCAATGACCATTAGGTTGAGTCTTGTTGATGCACATATCTTGGCATCAGAGTACATTAAGGCATGCATATTTGCACACCAAGGAAATTAACAGGTGAATATGACTGATACTAAATCTACACTAATTTCAGAATTAGACCAAGAATTGTCTTTCTGTAACAAAATTAGACATTGGTTCTTGCTAAAATGCCAAAAAAGACCAAAAATTCATAAAAATTAGCCATTTCGGACATTGCTAAAACATAAACCAGAAAGAAAAAAGGTCTTATTTGACCTTTTTCGTCCCAATCATTCACTTTCACGGTGTAACGTCTTTCTTTTTCCATTTTTACAAAAAACATGGATAATTTGGAACGATAAGCGGATTATAATATTTCAAAAAGTTAGTCACTTTTAAAACCAAGTCACAATACGTCAATACCAGTGGTCATTGGCTTAAATGGTACTCCTAAGAGAGACTCTGAACCTAGTGGTTGTAGTTTCAAGTCCATATACTAATTCTTAACCTTCTGCCTCCTCTAAAACTGACACATTCATTCAAACGTTTTCGAACATGCGACCTCAAGAAAACACTAAAGCTTTCTTATCCATCGACTAAAACCCCAGATTAACTAAAACCAGCGATTAAAAATGCTTGAGATAACATTCTAAGACTCAAAACTCATGCCAACTACATCACAGTGAGAGAGAGAGAGAGAGAGAAAACATCCGTACAAGTTGAATTCAGTTTCTCTTCTTTTAAAACCAGGTTTCATTCAACGAGGCGCGTCCGGAAATTCGACACAAAAACATTGAATAAGAAAACCAATGGAAACGAATTACTTACAGCCTTGACAACGAATCGGTTGCGACGGGTGGTAGAAGAGCGAATGGGGAGGGCGGAGTGGATGGATTTGGATCTGAAGTTGATGGAGGAAGAACCAGAAAAACTTAGGGCCTGGGAGAGAGTGGATTTGGGGGAAATGTAAGAGGAGTTTCTAGCGGTTGGAGAAGAAAGAAGAGCAGGTGAAGCAGATGAACAAGCCATGGTTGAATCTCGCTTCTGATCTCCTCTCTACCTACCTCTGTGTGTGTGAGAGATAGATTTAGGGTTATATGGAGGAGAAGATAGGGGATGGTGATTTAGGGTTATATCATATGGTGGAGAAGTGATGGCTGATGGATAAATCAAGATAGGGGGTTTTTTTTTTTTTTGAGGTTTGGTAGTTGGTGGATGTCTCCAGAATGTTGACTTCTGGTCAAAATTAACAATGGAGTTTCTGCATAATCTGTTGACTTTAAGTCGCATTTGACTTTTTAGGTTCACGTAAAATTTGTGAAACTTGTGAGACATTAAATAAAATATTATATTATATGAAATATTACTTTTTGAATTTATTTATTTTAAATTTGATTTATAAAATGAAAAGCCAAAAACAATCACAAGGTTTTATCAAGGTTTATATACGTAGATTGGGTTTACGTGAAATCAAAGATTTTTTGTGAGATCCGTAAAACCAATTTATGTTCATTGATTAGCTTATTTTCGTGAGACTCGTAAGATCAATTTATGTTCATTGATCAACTTTATAAGCTTATGATCTAATGGTCTAAAGTTGTACGGTGACAATTTTGTGATTATTGAGAAGTCCCGTGGTAATTTTGTGATTATGAATTTTCAGATTGTAGATCCAATCCAAAAGTTAAGAATTAGTTTTACGGGTCTCACGAAAAACTCTTGATCTTACATGATCCCAGGTCTTATATGTGTAGAATCAACGTTAATTATATCCGATATAAAAATTAAAACGTGACGATGAATTTTGTTCTTTCTTTGTCACGTGACTACCCACACGACTTTAACGGCTATTAACGGCATTGGCTTAAATGTTAGTCATTGTATAGTTAAGTGTCTAAAACTTAATTTCCAAACATAAAATTCATCGATACTACATCGTTTTCGCTATTAAATAACTCAAAGCCCTCTTGATCGTTTGAACCTTAACCAAACCGGTTCTCTCTGACCCGGATTTGATCCGGATCCACTTGGCGTCGTTGGCGATCCCGGGATTTGCAGTTCCTCCGGGTACACCGGTTGGCGGTGGCTGATGTTTGACAGCGGTGGTGCAGTTGGTACCCATCTTTCCTCCGCCTGATCTGGCCGCGGAACCGGGATAGGAGCAACCGGAGGTGGCGAGGGTGGTCCATCACCGGAGTTTTGATGATTTTGCAACACCTATACAAATGAAAGAACATGCATTCATTAGGGGTTTTTTACCATCAGAATAAGGGTAATTTATTGTTTAAACGATCCGGTCCCAAACGTAGATTGTGGTTCACGTTCGTTATTAAAATTTATATCGAGCTAACGAATAAGAAAAAACACATCGATACAAAATTTACATTCGTTGTCTTTTGGGTCGTTCTAAATTATTTCCTTTGGTAATTGTTAAATCATCCATCAACACATGATAACTTTTTCGATATGTGATTATAGTCTTTAACTTGCATCGTATTGTTATTTAAATCTAATCGGTTTCTTTACTCTCGTTTTTTGGTAATCGTGGATGTTTGGGCCAGTTTATATGAGTATCTCGACTGATCCTATGGAACCCAGAGCCAGAAAAATCATCGATAGCCCCGAAGATAGTCGAACTGACCTATGGGGAGGAGCCCCAATACCTGGTCGTTATTTGCCAATTGAGTTGACCCTTTAAAACGACATTAATAGTTGTGTGATTATTTTCTCATATGAACCAGCCAGTTTAATGGTTCGGGATATGTCCACGAACCCAAAATAACCTCGCATTTACGAGAAATGTCGTAACGTCCGACTTGGTCCGAACCGAATCCATGAATCTATGATTTGTAGCATCACCCAACTGGCTCTTATAGCAACCAAACAAGCCAACAACGCCTATATCATCCAACTAGCTCTACAAATGGCTAAAATGAGCCAACGACTGTAGGGTTTGGTTGGACTTCAAGATTTCCTTGCAAGAAAACGGCCGAATATATTTCAAAACGATAAACGAAGTTCAATGTACACCAAGTAGCCTCGAAAAACAGGGTATCATCGTATCGTCTTCTTTGGTTTTTGCTTAGCGGTTTTCTTTGTAAACGAGAAGGAGAAAAAGGGTACCTCGGATCTTGGCCTCGAAGGTTTGGAAGCTAAATATCGGAAGATTTCGAAAAATCTAGTTTGTCCCAACTCCGTGGAGTTATGCCAGTAGTAAATCGCCACATCCCACGCTCTCGCTCTCATTTCCTTCAAACTTCTTTCTATATCGGTTTCGTGCCGTGCTACAAATGGCCTCAACATGGCTTCATATACGTACCCTGTTCCCTGAAAGGCTCGTAAACTTTCCGTTTTTAGGAATCAAGTACGGTACCTCATCATAGAACAAAATGTGGTCATATTGTACCTTAGTTTTCGGATACCATAAGTAGATGATGAGGGCTAGCTTCATTTCTCCATACATTGGCACCCTACGTAACGTTTTTTCACACGATAATTTTCCAATTCCAAATGGCGAATTCTCACGTAAAAACATGCATACATCATCCGTAAGCGATTAGTAGACACAACTTTACTCATACGTACCATGAAATGAATATATCGCCAACTCTTTCAAAAACTGTAAGTACCGCAATGATAACCCTGTATATAAATCATAACCAAAAATGAATTAAAATTCGATTAAACAATTACTAAACAATTTGAAAATTCAAAAGAAACACTAGACTGTTTGGTTGTTTTCACACTAAGGGGCTGTTTGGTTAGTTTTCCATTAAGTTTTGTATGGATAAAGTTGTCTGTGTGGATTAATCTGACGTATAGATCTAAAGGTTTTTGTTTGTGAGAGTTTTTTCATAGATGAAAGAAACATGTTTTTAACTGGGAGGAACAAGTTTGGAAAAAAACTTGACTTTCTGCATAAAGCTCATCCCTAAAAGCGTACTGAATAAGCTTCTTTCTATATAATGAAGCCATTACCAAACAGTCATGTATAGCTGATCGAATAAGCTGTGAGTCTCATTAAGCTCGTCAAGTTGCTAACAAACAGGCCTTGTATGGCTATATGGATTAAGTTAAATTGTTGTTTATTTGTTGTTCTGAATAAACAGTCTGGATGACATGAATGTTTTGCATAAAGATCATCAAATTCTTGGATAAGACTACATCAACACCAAAGAAAAGGTTTGACCTTTTATAAAGGTTTTTAAGTTTGACTAAAAAGTTCTCTAATCCAATATGTTTTGTATGGCTAAGTCGACAACACACAACTTGTATACGATAGTGACCAAAACCGATATAATATACAACTTTCACTACACGAGATACAAGTTGCTATCACATTACTACCTTCAATGACGTCGAAAACGGGTTTGACCTTTTCAAAATTCTATGTTTGACCAGGATTTTTTCTTGCTATTTACTCAAACCCCATCAAGAAACACAAATGTCACATTCAATAATCATAAAGGTTGATCTAACCCTTCATTTCTCATTTGTATTAGAATATATACATATATATATGTGTATATATATATATATAGGGGCAGGACCATTTAGGAATCTTTTAAGTATTTTAAAAACGCAGGACTACCTATTTTGGGAGTATTCATGATGAATATTATTCATCATGAATGTCTGTCATAATATTCATCATGAATATTTTATCACGTTATTTATCATGAATGCTTACAAAATAAGTTGTGTTGCGTTCCTAAATGAACCTCCCCCCTCTCTCTCTATATATGCATATATATAGAATCGAGAACAAAGGGAATAAAGGGACATAAGATGGACATGATATGATCACGAGTTTGTTATAATTGATCAAGAAAATTAGGAGTTGTTTGGCAGTTGCTAAATGGTTTGGTGCAGAATGATTATGTGGTCAGAATGATTAAGAGGTTCTCATGATATAGTGCAAAATAAAATAGAATTGTATGGTAATTGTTTACGATGAAATTAGGGCGCTGAATGGTTAAGAGATACCCAGGATACAAAATCATTCAGAGGGTTTTAGAACCATTAAGAGGCAAACTTTTTTTTTTGCTAAACAAGATTCACCTCTTAACGCCTCTTAATAGAACTATTAAGAGCTAAATAAACAAACAAAGATTCATATTCTTGAATTATTGAAGATGAGAAAGGGAAATTACCAATATTGACACCAAAATCTTAATTCTGCATTTCCTGCACCATGTTTCTCAATGGTTTTAAAACATTCAAAAGCTGGATATGCATATCCAAGAATCAACCTGAATCCATAACCAAACATCAAAAAAAATTTAACAAAAACCCCAATTCCAGAAATTAAATCTAGTTGAATTTCAAGAGAAATTTGAGATTTGAAGAATGGAAGTTGCTTACACAAGACTGCTTGTGATGAGTTCACCCAACATCTTCTTCTACAGATTACGCAAAATTAACTGCAAAATTGGAAGAAAAACAAGTTTAATCATCGTCGATTTTGAAATCTATATCGAATTTATGAACACTTATGCAACGATTCATCGAATCTAATTCATACCCAACTCAATTCACGACAAATACTAAATGATTCTTCAGATGAAATCCAGCTAATGGATTGAATTTGAAAGTACCCACTTAGGAAAAACCCATATCCCGATTGAATCTAATCGAATCGAATGAATCCGATTAGAAAGTGAAATCGACTTCAAATTAACTTCAAACCCCTTAGGAAGTGCACTTAGATTAGAAAAATGAATCAAAAGCAGAAACCCATTTCGTTTTAAATAGAATAAAGGGATCTCTAATGGGAGAATCTCGATGAACATGAAGAACATTACCTTAGCAAAAAGCGAAAAGATCTGTTGACGCTTTCCTGGGTTTTGGAAGAAATCAATTACAGAAGCCAAATCGATCAAAAAAACTTCAAAATGAGAGCAAATTTGTTGAAGAAGATCGTGTTATCTGTATGTATGCAACCATGGTTGATGCTTCGTGCTGCCAAGTGCAAGGTATTGGAAATATATGCTTGGGAAATGGTGATTACGTTGCTTATTTTTCAACTACAAAAAGTTACACTACTAATTTTGATGATTAAGAAGCAAAGTTGATTACTTTAATAAGGATTAGAATATTGGGGTTTCTTATTGACGAACGAATCGGGTTTCTATACATTTTAGTCATCGCATTCTTTGTTACGAGTAATATTATAAGCGAGAATTTTGTGACGGATTTGATGATTTAAAAGTCGAGGACCATCGTTATCAAGTAAAGTCGATAACGATCAAGATGCTGAGTTATCTTTTTATCGTTTCATTTAATTACGGTTTTATAATTTTATCGATATTGAATTTACTTTATTTTATGGATATAATTACTTTTTTATAACCACTTGAATAAAAAGGGATTGGTAAAGTTACCAACTCTCTTTAATGGCATAATCATTGTTTTTGGTAAAGAAAATAAAGGTTGAAATACATGACAGATGTGTAAAAAGTTGATTATCGGTAATTTTAACTGGTTTTACATAAAATCCATCTTCAAACATCAATGTGAAACGGTATTTTTGTCTCACACAGCGGTTGAGGCTAAGATAGCTTCAACTCGAGACATATTTTGTATTTGGATAAAGTCGTACCGCATTTTTACTAACTGAGCTACATGTCAGAGACATAATGATTGAATGATGTCTATAATATTACTTATTTCAAGTCACATGGGAGGACCTCTTTAAATTGTGGAATCGTTGAGAACCAGTGTATTATGTGTTATTTCATATATTTTTTTTTCATTTATTGTTAGAATTTAATGTAGTAATTAACATACGTTTGTTTTATATATACTCGGTTTGACGTGTTTGTAAAACAAAAATACACGTAAAAGATTTTTGTATAATGAACGAATACATATGAAAAAAAATTATAAAGCATTTGACAAAAACTCTTAAAAATCATTTTTATGTATGAAATATTGTTTATTGATGCATATTACTTAAAATTCAAGATTATAAGTATATTGTGCGTAAGTACAACTTATTACAACTCCATGTTTGAATTTGCGTAACTAACTGCAGATAAACATAATTATATAGATGATAAACATCTCATTTTAAATATAGAAAATCTAAAATATAATTAGAATAATCATTGAGTTTTAACAAAATACATAATAATTATCTTTATAAAAAATTATATTATTAAATCAAAAATAAATTACTTTGTTATTAAATCTAAATTAATGTATAATAAAAAATTGAATTAAAGAAGTTACATAAAAAAAGAGAATTATTAAATAGTTAATTTGATACTAATATCGATTTATTCTTTTTCAAATTTTTATGCTATATTCAAATTTATATTTAGTTTAAAAATAAAAACATTATTGTTTTTTCAAAATCACATAAAATCATATTATATCGATAGAGGTGAATAAAAACTAAACATTAAAATGGAAATTTATCTCGCTGCATTACACGAGTACGCTTCTAATATGAAAAAGATATATCATGAAATAAACATATGTTAATAAATACATTAAATATTATATGAAACAAAATATGAAGATAAAAGTTGTGAGGCATCTTATAAATTTTAAAGTTGTGAATGATTAAGCACTTTGTGATACACCGTTCAGACTTCAGAGACATGAATGAATGCATCTTTGACAATGCTGTTCACGAATAATGATGGACAAAAATATCCAATCAAAAATGGAATCTTGATGGATATGTTTACTTGATCACATGTCTGTTTTTTTATTCATAAACAACATTTTTAAATATAACTTAAATAATTTAATATAATAATAAATATTTTTAAATCTTTTAATATAATAATAAATATTTTTAAATCTTTTAATATAATTAATAAATATTTTTTAAATCTTTTAATATATGTTTTCATCAGAACTAGTAGACCTTACAATGACATTGACGCTAACTGATTAAATTATACTTTTTTTTTTTAATTATGTTATATCAAAATCAATTAAAGTGTAAATATTATTTTATTTGATAAAATTTGAAAGATACTTACGCAATACAGCGAAATATATCTTGATTATGATATTTCATTTTATTCTTTATCTCATTCGATATTATAATATGGTCTCATGTGATTTTGAAAAGACGATTATGTTTTATTTTTGAATAAAATATAAATTTGAAGATATCATAAAAATTTGACAAAAATATATCAATATTAGTATCAAATTAACTATTTAAAATTCCTCATTTTTTGTGTAATTTTTTATTTCAGTTTTTTAATTATAATTTAATTTACATTCAATAACGAAGGTAATTTATATTTGCTTTAATGATATTATTTTCTTATAAAGATAATAGTTAATTGTTTTATTAGAACTCAATAATTATCTTAATTATACTTTTGGTTTTTTATATTTTAAAATGAGATATTTATCCTCTATTTAATTATGTTTATCCGCAGTTAGTTACACGAATTCAAACATGGAGCTTTGATAAGTTAAATTTATGCATAATTTACTTGTAATCTTGAATTTTAAGTAATATGCATCAATATACAGTACTTCATACATAAAAAATGGTTTTTAAGAATTTTTATCAAATGTTTTATAATATAATATAAATAATAGCATTTCTATCATATATCTCAAATAGAGATACAAAAGTAAAAAATAACATCAAAAATATTACATTTAGATTTTATACAAATCATATCATGCCCTTTTGCCTTCCAATTTATTTGAAACTAGACAGATGAGAAATATATACTACTTGTTAACCATAACAAGGCTGCAAGCAATATGAGATCAGTCGAGGTACGTTTTCATGTTCTTTACCAAACGCTTACCAACAAGAGTAACCACATTCACCTTATCGGATAACAATCTCGGCCATCAAGATGGATTGTTGATAAATGTCTCTTGCACAGTAAGCGATAACCAAGTAAGAGTCTTCTACCGAGTAAGATTCTCAATCTTTTGCATACTCACCCCGTAATGTAAGTGACAACCATTAAGTAACTTACTAGGTAAGTATTTGGTAAACGGCCCCTAAGAAGTAACTACAAGATATAATGAAAGCATATAAAATATAAAGTAAGGCAAAACACACATCCCTTTATCCCTCCCTCCATTAGGCCTGTAAACGAACCAAACGTTCAGCGAACTATTCATGAACATTCGGCGGAAAGTCCGTTTATGTTCATTTATTTAATAAATGAACAAGTCTTTTTGTTCATTTAGATAAAGGGACGAACATGAACAAACGTTCATTTATGTTTGTTTAATATATAAATATATTTATATAGACTTTTATTTACATATAAGAAAATTATAAATCTTGAAACTTCGACCCATAAAAGAGTTAAAAAGACATTTTTGGGCTAATCCAACATGGCCTTTATTTAAACTTAGTCAATTATTTTATTTATGTTTGTTTATGTTCGGTTAGAATTGTTCGTTTATGTTCATTTATTTTACATTCATTTAGCATCTTCACGAACGAACACGGACACCTAAAATTTTGTTCGTTTAAAGTTCGTTTGTGCAGTTAACTTAAATGAATGAACATAAACAAGACTCTACTCGTGTTAGTTCAGTTCGTTTACAGGCCTACCCTCCATCGTAGGACTCTCGTAACCTACACCACCAGCTCTTTATCCCCCCAACCCTCTCTCTTCCAACTCCCTTCTGCCCATCCATGGTAGCTATATACCCCCACACAGGCACACCCAGCCTGCTACCCTAGTCTTTCGTCTCCAAGTACACTGGTTATGTCCTCAAAACTTGTCTAAGGCAACCATGTCCATTCTCAATTGCTCATCTCACATCCTCCTCGACCATCACATGGGTGCCACCATCGGCCACTACAAACCATCGCAATCTCCCCACTCTCAATTAACATAATGCTTGGAAATAATAGAAAGACACAGTGGTTTAATGCCAAAGGTACTTTGGGTGGAAGTTTTAAGTTCAAGTTGCAACACATATGACTTGTTTTCCACATAATATTACTAAACTGCCTCCTGCAAATGGATTAAAAATCAATGTATCTGACAACTTAAATATTACCTCCATCCAATTTAAAAGAGCCCATGTGTTTGTAATTTACGAAGATGAGTGCTTTATCTTGAATAGAGCATAAGCAGCATATCTTGTTCAATTTCTAAGTTCTACATTTAGATGCAAGATAAATTTTATTGCTATATCAGCAAGCCTGACCAAATTACTTTCAATAAATTTCACATGAACCATATTGAATATCACAAACAATAATTTCAAAAACTACATAGTCTAGAAGGAAAACTTCTCCATAATGCTAAACAAGTTCTGATTGTAAAATGAAAAGCCTAAAGACTGTGGAATGTATAGTTATTCAAGCGACAAACATAAAACGTGAACTAAGGGGCCGTTTACCAAACTCTTATTTGGGTAAGAGCTTACCGACTCACATTACCTTATCGGATGAATGCGATAAAGGCCAAGAATCTATACCTGGTAAGAGCAAGGCAAGGAAAAGAGAACTGGCTGACCTTTTTGATGAGTAGATATGACCATCCTCAGGGGACAAACCCATGATGGCTAGATTCTCTAAAACACGGAGGACCTTCAGAATTTTTCATTAGCGGTTGAAACAATCAGCAACTTGTGAAGCCGTTGCTAAACCACATGAGAATATAATAAATAATTGACAAATTAGAGCAGAATCTAACGTGATCTGATGTTATACCTGAGCTGTTGCTGGAAGATTATTCATCTGATAATCTAGTTGACATAGAGTTGATCGGAATTGCTATCATATGGCACTTATCTATACCCATGACCATTGACCACCAGTGCAACCCTGATTGCTACCATGAATATGATGCTTAAAGAAATAAAAACAAAAAAGAAAGCAAAAAATAAATAAAACACAATCAGCACTGTTCTACCAATGATTAATCAGCTATTCAAAAGGTAATGATATGAAAGTTGCCTAATGAAGACGTAATTTTGCCCTGAAACACATTACTAATCAATCTTCTCAAAACCAAACATGTAGCATCAACAAGTCTAAAACTCAAACAAGCCTCAAAAGTAACAGCAAAAAAGTTAAAATTGAACCAGAGGTTTGTGAAGACAAGAAAGTGAAGTCAGTGACCGATTTGTGGAAGAATGAAACCCTGAAAGAGAATTGATGAAACCTAAAAACATAATGGAACTGATAAACACCGTTGGAAACATTGGCTCAATTAACCATGAAGTGCTGTCAGGCAAAACCGCCCAAGTCACCAAAGGATTAGATTGGACAATTTAGAGTTTAATCATGGTTGGAATGAGAATGCACGTGCCATTGGTTTTGTTTTCCACTTCTCCATCATTTCTCGACGAGAAGAGGTCAGAAACAGAACAGTTGTTTTTCCATTTCCGCCATTGATCTCCATTTTAGAGAGAAACAAGATCAGAGACCAAGAAAGAGTCTTTGTTCGCCTTTGTTTCCGTTCTTGCTACCAACCAGACATGGTAATACGTTTCCCTTACCATTTCCTTAATTTACTTTCCTTCCTACCAAACACCCACTTAAAACCCGTGACAGGATAAGCTCTAATGAAGTACAATCAAGTTCTTGGCTTCTAGAAAATTTCCTCACAAGAGGATGACTCGTCCAGCACACAAACAATAATGATAACTGATACGAACATTAATAGTAATAGATCAAGCAACTACAGTTCATCGCTGAAAGTAAATATAACTCCAGGTGGAAGTTTTAAGTTCAAGTCGCAATGCATATGTCTATTTTTCTACAAAAAATGCCACATATCTGAGTCACTTAACATGAAGTGCCTCCCGCGATTGCATTACAGTAGATGTACCAATAAATAGTTATTGCTATATTAGCAAGCCCAACTGAATTCACATGAACAATATTTAATATCACAAACAGTAAGTTCAAAACCTAAAGAATCTAGAAAGAAGATATACCTATGATTTTAATCAATCTGATAATTTGTAAACTGAAGAGCTATTTACTGTAGAAAGTTGACTTATTCAAGTATCAAACATAAGCAACCTCTTGCAAGTACCATATGACTAAACTTGAAAATTTAGAGGCTTGGCTAACATTCTTACTTTAAGATGTTGAAACAGTAAAATGATATCCAAACTCAGGGTAATTTCAATTTTTCAAGCATGAAAAACTAGGCAATCAAGGAGATCCCTGAATAGTGCTACACGTCCTCGTAAATACCCACCTGTTCGTTTCCAGTATGCAATATGCTAGAAAGGGGAAGAGGGGCAAATTGGGGGCATCGTGAATTAGTCAGTTACATAGTGGGAAGGAAGATCAAGGGTAAATAGGGAATTATAGTAAGAGTTTTTTACGCCTTCTGATAAATAGAGGAGATATTATTGGAGTGGGTCCAAATTTTGCACTGAAATTTTCTGTTGGAGAGGCTAGCCTCTCAAAATGCTAGAGAATTTCCAATATTTCCTGTTGAATCATTCAATCTAAAGAATATTTTCATAGATTTCTTCCTCTTAATTGTCAAGTCTTAGCAGATACTCGCCTTCCATTTTGTCTATTTCAAAGAGTTACCAACCACTTACTGAGTCTGCATTAATGCAAGACATGTCAATAGATACACACTTGCAAACTATATATGCTTATCAAAAGCAGGGAAGTGTAGAGCCTCCAAACTTTAGCGGGTGCTTGGTTGAAGGTTATGGGATACAAGGAATGGAATGAGATCAATACTGTTGGTTGACTTGGTATAACAGAATGGCCTATTACATAGCTTTGGATAATGGGCCATTCCTGTTTATTGGAGGAAATGAAAATTCATTCACCAGAATTTTGTTACCAATTCTCTTCCCATGTCCCAGTATCAACCAAGCTCCCCCTGTATATCATACATTACAATGACGAACATTGGCAAAGTCCGATGGTGCAAAAGTGAACAATAGCAACCTAGCACGTAATTATTGTGAATGCAAGACATTCCTCAACATCTATAAAGTAAAATAAGACATGCTTTAAGTTTTAGAGCTTCACAAATTCCTTCTCCTGACCTCGTATAGGCTCTAGAGGGCATGTCCTAATGACAATGACAGGGGCATGTCCTAATGACAATGACAGGGGCATGTCCTAATGACAATGACAGGGGCATGTCCAAATGACATATGACAGGGTCATATCCCCCCTATGGTCATTGAATGTCAAATCAGAAGGTGCTTCTCAATCCGGTTCCTCCTGAAGAAAAAGAACTAAAAAATCACAAGTTATCCAGAAAGAGATCCTTCATCAATCACAAAGCTGGCCACCTCTCTCAAGATGTCAAAGAAAGAATAACCACTAACCTGGGCACCTGGCTATAAACCATGATCACTAATTGAGAAAGAAGCAAACATACCTTGTAAAGAGGTTGATGCTGAGAAAAATTTCCACACTAAAAACAAGATACTCTCTGCCCACCATCCAAGCTCCAGACTTCACCTCAACTTCTCTCCCAATCCTTGTAATTGACAAGCTAGCAGAAACAATATTACCGGCGGACAAAAACCATCTGAACTTGAACATAGCCTAACAACTTAAGGCCCTAAAACAAGAATCTAACTTGAACATATCCCAACACCTTAAGGCCCTAAAACAAGAATCTACTGTTTCAACATTCACCGGAAGTGAACATACTACAACACATTCTAAGTTGTAACCACCATCTCCAGCAATATAATATCAGATAGATACATAATAAGCAAAATATACATGCATAATTCTCTGTGTATAAAAGCTATGATCCCAATTGCATATATATGTAGTGTATGTGTATGTATATGTGTAAGTATAACAGTATATGAAGAGTGCTAAATGATAAAAACAGAGCAAGAAAATTATCAAAGGGAAAATGATATTAAAAAGCCCACAAATTTACAGCTGTTGATTTGCTAATAGGATTAAAAGGGGAACTCCTACTATCTACCATGACGATCATTTCAGAAAACCTCTAATCCATAGAGAACGCCGGCATACTTCTCAGGCCCACCGCTGCAAAGATCCCTGATCTTCTGAAAGGCGTGCCATGTCAGCAAGCTATCTGACCCGGCCTGGTGACATTTTCCAACCGCCCGCTCCACCTCGAGGGTCTTAGCCACCCGGTCCAACCCACCATAAAGACCTTCACAGTACCTCATCAGATGTTTAACATCATACACCTTATCCCCAAAGAAAGTTTTCAAAAGTTCCATGAATCGGGTCATTTCATCGGGTAAACACCGCCCCGTCAAGATCTTAACCAGGTAGCCGAAATCATAAGCGCTATGAAACGTCACCCAGCTCACAAGCTCGTTACAGACCAACCCAGATGACATCATCAGCTCAGAGAATTTGACGGAGTCTATCCCGTAATCATGATTCTTCTGAAAATCAATCCCTTGTCGTATCAACAGGTCAATCGATTCAGAAGCGTACTGGTCACGTGATGGATCAAAATCCTTGAAGTTAAATTCCCAGATGTAACGTGTGTTGGTGTTCGTTTCTCCTAGATCAGGGAGGTTCCCGTCGGCATCGGTAAGGGTAAGACCGACCTGGATAAGTTTCAAAACGTCAACATTCGATTTGAGGAGGAGGTAGTGAACGGAAGGGCTCTGGTGACGGAAGTAGTTGTAACCGGCGTTGGGACGAACAACGACGCCAGGAAACTCTGTATCCATTGAAACGTAAGGGTAATCGTCGATGATTGATTGAATTAAACGAAACTCAGATTCTAGGTTATAGGCCCACACAGATCTTATCACAATCGGTGGCGATGGTGATGAACTGCCCTTGATCGACATGACAACGACCGTCGGATCTCCAGATCGAATTGATTTTTGGAGAGATCTGTGTGTGACGATCTCCAACGGCGGTGATCGGCGGGCGCTAATGGTGGATTTAGATTAGGGTTCCAGCATATTTATAACAGGGTATGAGAGGGAGACATGAGAGAAAAGGACGTGTTGAGTGAGTGGGGAGAGTGTCGTGGGTCCCACCGGTTGAAAAAAGGAGTTGTATCTTGTGCTTCTTTGTTTGTACCCAAAACGTAATCTCCTCCAAAAATAGGTGTTCATTGCTTCTTCAAAAAGAAAAAGACAAAATTACTTTTTTAATATTTTATTATTATTATTGAAATATATATTTCATTTGAAAATTATTTATTTTAAAGTAAATTCCACTTTTGGTTTACAAAAAAATCGGTTTTTTTTCTTTAATAATCAAATAAATAATCTTTTTTTGGAAAGGGATCCATAGCTCTAACTAAGAATTACATTTCTTCGTCAAATTCTTTTATTTTAAAGTTTAATTATATTATTAAAATATTAAATATGATTTATAAAATATTATTTTTCTCTTCTAAACATGTAAATTCAAATGATTTTACTGATGAAATGAATAAAAAGTCATTTATACCTCTCGTAAGTAATTATTTTTGAAAAAATCCTTAAATCTGATAATTTCATATTTTCTCTGTTTTTTAGAAGATTACGAGAATCTGTTGGGAGCAAAAGTCCCCAAATCTTCATTTTGGTGAATCTGTTGAAGATGCTTTAAAATAGAACATCTCCAACCCCTTCTCTAAAATAGAGAACCGTTATCTTCTTTATTTTGGAGATTACAATATAATTTATATTATTATAATATTCAATATAATTTATATTATATTATTTATTTCTACTAAATATCTAATTTTAAATATTTTATTGGTAGAAAGAATAAAAAATCATTTTTTTTCTTAAGTAATCGTTTTTAGAGGAGATTTTCATCCCCTCTCTCTCTCTCTCTCTCTCTCTTACCGTCTCTATTTTGGATAATGTTTTGGAAATTTTGTTGTAACAACAATCTTCACAATTTCCATTTTGAAGAATATGTTGGAGATGCTATAACACGATAACAACTTTAGTTAAATATATCATTTGTTGGGGGTATTTTGGTCATTTTCTATTTCTTTATTAAAAAACGTTAGTGTGCAATTTTGAATAATATTTCACCGATGCTTCATCCGATTTTGCGTTTGATGCGACCAACCTCAAACTAATAACTGATTTCCTCAAATGCGAAAGAATACTTAAAAAAATCTCAATGTTTGTGGTTTAAAAAATCTCAATTCAACCCAATCAAAACTACACCCCGACTCAAACTGTACGAGTTAGGGTAACTTGGTCAGGTTGAAACTTTGGTATATCATTTTACAATCTAGCTAATCGTTTATGTTTAAAAGAAGTAGAATAAGAATATTAACATACAAAAAAGACTAATAAACTATAAAAAAAATTGAAGGTTCATGCGAATAAAAAGTAAAATTACGGTTGAAATTGTAATATAATTTTATATATAGCTAACTACAGGTTGGTCTAATGTACATGTACTAATCAATAACTTAACATTCATATCAAATTCATAATATATAAATGCATCGGGTTGGTTGGGTTGGGTTGGGTTGGGTTGAAATTACCCTAACTCATTTTCAACCCAATAGATGCGGTTTGACCATATTTTGTATCAACTATATGTCGGGTTACTTCAAGTTGAGTTTTTTTTTTTTTTTGGGTTGAGCTGATATCCTTGGAAGCGGGTTTCGTGTGAGTCCGGTTAGGTTTGCCGGTGATCAATTTTTTGCCCAAATATAAGTTTTTACTAAAATATACCAATATATTTTTCTTTGATTCAAAATAAAAGAAAATGGTAAATTGACCAAAATTATCTCTATTTAACGGGAAATCTTAACAAACGTTAATGAGAGGGACCAAAACAAGTGGATTTTGCATATATCAAGAACGAATTTGTTAAATGTATTTTCTTATATATCCTTATCAAAATAACAATTGAAACTAGATTTAAAAATATTATATTTAATGTCAAATACAAATTTATATAACTTTTAAAGTGTTTTTAATTAAAGTAGTTAATTGTTAAATTACATTTAAACGATAATTTAACGACTATATTATTTTATAAATTTTGGAAATGTTTGCTACAACAGTTATGCTAAACTCTCAAATTACATTTGTGGATTTTCTGGAAAGATTTGAAATATTTGGTGTGTTTGGTTTGTATGATTTACAATGGAATTAAATTCAATTATTTATAAATTATTTACAAAAACAAATTATGGAAAATTATAAAAATAATTCAATTATCTTTTTACTAATTTATTATTACAGAAAAAAAAACATATTTTAAAACATTAATACAAACAAATCATATGAAATCCCACAAAATACTGACTACAGAAATGAGATTTTTAATCCCATGTTTGTGGGATTTTAATGAAATATCGGGATTCGAAATCTCTGTGATCCCTCAAACCAAACATAAGATTGAAATAAAATTAAATTCCAAATCATATCTAATCCTAGAATTGGATGGTTTGTAAATGAAACATCACACACACACTTACTTTATATATATACTAGAAGGGTGATCGTGTAATACTTCGAGACGTATATCAATTTCAATGTCTCGTTTTATTATTTATTTATGTCGATATAATACGGTTTTATGTGGCTTTGAGAAGACGATAATGTTTTTCTTTTTGAAAAAGATATATATTTTAATATATCATAAAATTTTGAAAAAAATATATAAATATTAGTATTAAATTAACTATATAAAAGTTATTGTTTCATATAATTTCTTTAATTCAAATTTTTTTATTATAATTTAATTTAAAGTAATTTAATTTAGGTTTAATAATATAATTTTTTATAAAGATCATAATTAATTATTCTGTTAGAACTTAATTATTATCCTAATTATATTTTAGATTTTTTATATTTAAAATGAAATGTTATCCTGTATTTGATTATGTTTATCTGCAGTTAGTTACACGAATTTAAAGATGACGCTTTAATAAATTATACTTAAGCACAATCTATTTGTAATCTTAAATTTTAAGTAATATGCATCAATACACAGTGCTTTATGCATAAAAAAATAATTTTTAATTTTTTTTGTCAAATACTTTATAATATAGTATATATATATATATATATATATATGTGTGTGTGTGTGTGTGTGTCAAAGAAAGAACTTTGAAAAAAAAGAACTGAAGAACCACAAAAAAAAACAGATGAAAAATATATCACAATAAATGTAAAACAAAAGATAATAAAAGTGATTTTTTTTATTTTTTTGTATAATTTGTTTTACTCTAGATTTTTTAATTTCACTGATTTTCGATTTAAAAGTTAAGAAAAAATATTTGTATTTTTGAGAAAGGTGATTATAACCATCTCTTTGGCACATCTGTTGGATGATTTGAACTCTCTCTTTATAAACGATGAAGACCATGTAATTAAATAAAACTGGGCTTGAGATAAAATGCATCCCTGTACATTGCTACATGCTAATCTCCTTCTCATACACATCAACACCAACACCAACACCAACACCAACACCAACACCAACACCAACACCCACACCCACACCCACACCCACACCCATATGAATTCTAAACTGAAAATTAAATCTTCTTTCAAACTTTTATAATCTTGTAGCCTATTCCTCGAAATTCACATATGAATACCTTTTGTTGGAACCGAAAACTATTTAATCTGTAAATTCACATATGAATAACTTTTGTTGGGACCGAAAACTATTTAATCTGTAAATTCACACATTGATTTAGATCTTTAATTTTCTTTTATTAAAAAAATATTCTAAAGCACCATCTTTTTGAAAAAGAATGGAACGCCTTTGAAGCAAGCCAAAAGCATTGCGAATATGATGCCACGAACTTTGCTCATTTTATGCCAAAAAGTAATTTAGTCATTTACTTGTTTTGTCCCATCTCCCCGATTTCTATTCTTGGTGGGACAACAATCTTATCCCCGCACCAAACATAGGGTTTTGTTAACGTTTTCGACCTCTCAGGGGGTCTTTTTTCTTTGCATACCAAAACCAAAATTTCTGGGGTAGGGTATGCAGATCCATCTGAAGCCAATTTTGTCAGGATGTGGCAGCAGACGGCGGTGGTGGCTGGGAGCAGTCTGCCGCTGCCGACAGCACGGAAAAGCTCCCAACAAAGCAATAACGAACACGAGCAAGGAAAATTACTAAAAGAAGTTACATATATATAAAACATTTGACACAAACAAGAATCCCATGAATCAAACAGCACAGCAGTAGCCAAGAAACAGAGCCATGAGAGTCAAAATAGAAAAGAAGGCTTCTTCAAAGCAAATCCACCCTCTCTACATCCAAACCATCAAATTTGCATACAAGAATATGCAACATTCATCATTCATCATATTCATCTATAATATCATATCAGCTAGAAAAACGTACCTTCTGGCGGCTGAACTAGCTTCCGGTTATGTGGAGCCGCCATTTCTTTCTTCAGCTGTGTCAGTATATCTTCCATTGTGTACTCTCTCTGCCAATTTGCCAGTATCCCAAACTTCTTCGGCTCCACCTGAAAAATGGCTTGGCTTAGTAACCCGACTTTTGGTCCAGACCCACCTCGAAAAGGATGCTTTAAAGTTGCAAAATTCGTAAAAAAAACTTCTTTTCATGGGTTTTCAAGTTACATTACACGCAACCCTTTTGGAGGTCATAAAGAGGGTTCAACTATGTCATATTTAAACATCTAAGGGTCTGTATGTTTACAGCTTAATGAGCTTAATGGGACTCATAGCTTATTCAGTCAGCTATAGATGACTGTTTGGTAGTCGCTTAAAGATGTAGAAAGTGGCTATTCGGTCAGCTTTGGTGGTGGCTCAATGATATAGAATGTGCCTTATTCGGTAAGCTTCTAGGGAGAGGTTTATGCAGAAAGCCAAGTTTTTTCCAGCCCTGCCCCTCACAATTAAAAAACACGTTCCTTCCATCCAGGAAAAAACCCACCCAATCTATGCATATTGATTAATACACACAATCAGCTTTATCTGTACAAACGGAAAACCAACCAAACAACTATCATTCAATTAAAAAATAACTAAAAATCTTGTGAACACAAATCAATACCACAAATTCATTTCCAAGGATGATGATTGGAAAATAAGTCACTAGAACATGGAATATGTCCAAGAAAAGAAATGTTGCAATTTTTATGGTACACCCAAGAAGGCAAGCGTTGCGATTTCATGTGATTAAAGAGGGAGAAACTCAGCCATTAATGTAGTAGTGAACATTGTTTCCAAAAGCAAAACAATTTTTTATTGAATTTGGAGTCAAAAGTAATCCATTTTGCACTCATAACTCGAATGCAACTCTTTAAGGGAGTAAAAGGAAATTAGCTCAAGATTTTAGTATTCATGTACCACTCCAGTCTCATGGTTGACGCAAGTCATGTTGATCCGAGAATGGAAACGGACGGTAGGAGACTTCTCGGGGTAATCTTTGTCACAAAATAGCTTCAATTGATATATGCGGCCTTCATGTACAGACTGAAACACCATAAAAAAGTATTAGACATGAGTATCAGAAATAAATTACTATAATTTTAGCAAAAATGTTTTGCAACTCTCATTCATTTAACCAGTTTCCCTCGTTCCCATTTCATGGATCTCATCATTTCTCATAAATTAGACTCACAATCACTTGGCCTATCCTCACTAAATCAGTGGGACCCACAAATGGTGAACGCCGTACGTCAGCAAGATTGAAAATTATTACTCCCTCCCCTCCAAAAGCAAAAGCTCAATTTGCAATATTTTCCTTCCAAGTAAGTCTCACTTAGTGTAAAATGACATAATGTACTCATATGTATCACTCACAATCACATGTGAATATCAAAGTTCCAAGTGGAGCTTACATTGTGAGGACCAATGATGGTACCGGTCCAAGAACGCATATAAATGTCATCGCCATCATCCATTCCATAACTCACAGTGCCATCTCCAATACCCTTTTCACCACGCTCAAGCTCCTCCAACAATCTGAAATTCCGAGGCACTGAAACAAAATTCAACCACTTCAGCAACAAACATCTTTGAAAATTTTCATTACTTCAAAGATCACCGACGACCCCCACATAGAAAAAACTTCCAATTTAATCTTTACCACATATTTATCCTAGTAAATCAATCACCACTCAAAATAACGCTTTATTGCTGCTTGAAATGTAAATGGTCAATCAACGAAGTCATTGCATAATAACATTTACAGTTATAAGTTAAAGCCAGTGAGCAGAAGGTAAATTGTAACATGAAATGCATTGCCCAAGTAAATAAATTTAGTTGTAGATCGGCGATAATTGAGTTTACGTCTCTTTTTCCAGTTTCCTCCTTTGAATTTTCTTTCGGTACGGTCCAAAAACAATTGTTTATCTTCCGGTTTGGAATGTCCCAAATTGATTGCAACGTTTCAACAATTTCGACCCACCATGTGACTATCCATGTGAAAAAAGCATCTTTATACAAGCACAAATGTTTCAAAGACTGAAGCAAATTGCATAACTCAATCTATAATTCAAATATGATATATAATATTCCTCCGTCATAGAAGAAGACGTATTCCTTTCCTGTTTGTAGATAAAAGAATCATATATTTCCTTAAGTGGGTAGTTCTTAAAGAACTACACCATATACACATATTCATCTACCTCCCACTTCATCTTTCTCATTAATATTTTCATTGTGGATCAAGAACGACCCTAGACTAAGAATCCTTAGGTCTTATTCATCTCCGTATAATATTTTCATTTTGGGGGCACCAATAATAATAGTACAAGAGAAAAAGCAGGTTGTGAATCCCATTTCGTTGATGTGAGAAAAGATAGAATTAGGACCGACAAAACAGAGAGTGGTATAAACGAATGAAGTCTCACATGCTTTAGACACTTTTTAAGTGAGCTACATACAAGTTTTGGATATGAAGCCTGATTTAGACCGCATAACTTATGGTAGCAATCATAGTTGAGACAATTAGAATGAAGTAACTATCTCTTATCCATTTTCTTTCTATTTTTTCTTATAAATGGTACCCATACCAACCTTCTTCTTTGTATGTACCATCAAAAATTCATGAGATATAATAAGAATCCTAGCAACAATGCCATACGTATGTAAACTACTAAACATTACTCCCTATGTCCCAAAATAAATGTCCACATTTCTATTTTAGTCGGGCCCAATATAAGTGTCTAGTTTCCAATTCTATCCTTAATTATGAGATGAGAAATTCTTTACTCCCTTATCATTGATGATAAGGATAAAATTGTCATTTACTTAACTAAAAAGTACAATGATTACACAATCCTACAACTCCAACTCTACGAAGCATTCTTTGGGTATATATAACTGTATAAATCTAGCTATCCAACAACAACAAAAAATTCACTGAAGAAGATGAATCTGCAATTGATAGTCTCTTGAAAATGCAAAGTTACACATACACAATCTTAAAATAATATACAATTATCATCCACCATAAACTACAAGTTCAATAACGCCTGCATAAAACACGAAATGGAGTCAACCATATATCCGCCATTGTTAGCATCAGGGTGACCAGATAATCTTCAAATTAACATCGGAGATTATTGAACATAAATGTAAGAATAATTTAATCTCTCAAGGATGACTACCATATCTCACTCTTCCTCCATATCATAAACACAGTCCATATTTCACCTGAGTGATTGACATTATAAATAATCTCATTTGACTTTTCATAGCAAAATAACCCTTTTTTCTTGCAAAAATGCAAACAAACACTTGCATACAAAAGAATCAACAATTTTGAACAAATTAAAAATCCAAAAAAGGGTATTAAAAGAACCTTGTCTTGACATCTATCATCCAAAATCATATACTCTAATCTAAGTGTAAAGCCCTTCCGCAAACACAATTGGTTTGTAAGAAAAATCAATCACTCTGTTTGACTTTTTGAGTTTCCAATGAGTTGTTTTCCAATATCAAAAGTGAACTCTCTGTTTCAGGACCAACTAGAATCAAGAACGATAGTTCTTCTGGCCCCCAATAGTAAACATCCATGATCCATCCAATGGTATTAACTATTAAGTCCAAATCATTCCCACCAAACAGAAATAGCCAAGAAGTATGAAAGATACTTAGAAATATCACAATCCAACCCTAGCCAAACCCTAACGTAAGGTATAATCAACCCATAAGCTGCTAGAAAACAAAATTAAATACATAATCGATGACAATAATTACAAAACTCGCTAAACAACATAAAATCCCTACAGGAATTGAACTCGAAACATATAAACAGGTAGACGAATTTGACCTAGCTTTGCTTTAGTTCAAGATTACATCCGATGTTTGGTGAACCAATTAAACAGATTAATAATCTTGGTAAGACGAACGGAAGTTTGACAAATGATGAACAGATTTGGCAGAAAAGGGGTAGAAAGGCAAGAAGATCGAAGAAGATTGTATTGAGAAACTCACCGACCACACTGGATCCTCCTGAGCCAAGCGTCATGAGTTCAGTATACAAAAATGGTTGCCTGATATTACGAAACGCAAAGATCGATCTGATCGAAGAGGTGGGAGAGATGGAGGCAGAATCTAAACAAGGGCAAAAAGGGGGTGGAGAGGGGATAAAGAGGAATGGGAAAATAGTTTTTAAATTAATTCAATAATTTATTTGATTAAGTTTTTAAATTAATTTTTAAATAAAAAATTAATTTATTTTTTATTTTGATGATTAAGTTCCTGACTTTTTTTTGATAAATAAATCATTGAACTTTTAAAATTTGGTTACTTGCATCATTTTAGCAAAAAGAAACTCATTGTAACCGACTAGAAATGTCGTAAGGTAAAAAGAAACCCAAATCAAATTTTACCGTTTCCAAATACGCCCTTCAAATCCCTCACAAACAATGGTATCACTCCCTTACTTGCTCTCTGTCACCCCCGTCTTTGTCCTTTTTTCATATCGGCTATCACACTGTTCCCCTTGCTATCGATCTACTTTTAGGGGGTTACAAGTATTTTACTTTAAGACTTTTCTAGCTGGTTATACGTAGTTTTTTGGTTAAAATGATGTAAGCAACCAATTTTTAAAAGTTTGATGGTTTATTTTATCAGAAAATTATTTAGAAACTTGATCATTCAAAAAAATAGTTTGAGGACTTAATCATTTAAAATGAAAAGATTTAATGGGTTTTTCATTCAAAAAACAGTTCAGTAACTCAATTATTCAGAAATTTTGTTGGGATTTTCTTAACTTTTCCTTAAAAGACTAACGAATTCTTTATTTTGAATGGTTAGTCCTTTAAACAATTTTTTAAATGAGTTATGAGTAAACCTTCGAACTAAGAAGATTCTAAAGTAAAAAACCTAATCGAGGCCGATGGGATTTAAATGACGTAGGGTTTCGGAACGATAATATTGATTTAAGTTTTTTGTTAATTTAAAATATTTCTACCCGGTTGTTTTGAAGTTTGAACCTTTTATGAGATTTGAATTTTGACTTCTTATGAGGCCAAAGACTCGCATACTGCTAGACCAAAAGCCCTTTGGTAACTGAGTGAATGTTTTTAAATTAGGAATCAGAGCAAAGTATTTCACATTTTTATATAATTTATCCTTTTTTTTATAACGGCCTTATCAACTAGAATAAACTAGTTGTGTACTCGCGCAATGCGGCGGGAATCAAAAATATAAACTATTTTGAAGCTGATCCATGAAATATGAGTATGGTTCCAAATTGAAGTTGATCCTTGAAAATTTTATGAAAGTTTAAAATCCAATATAGAGTTGACAAACAAACTCAAAAAATATTGGTCTGCTACTTTGATCCGTCATTTCCGATAGGGCACAGTTCCTTCCACGGCAGAAGAATTGCTACTTTGATCTGCCATTTCCAAAGACGATCCTCTCATCTTCTTTTCTAGTTGAGATTTCATTTCCAAATGGGATGACCTAAGGTTTCTTGATGCACCATCGTATTAAAGCTTTGGACCTTGTACTTTTCACACCTTAGATTTGAAGGTCGAAAAAATGAACATGTCGGAACCTAAGTGTGCCAATGGCTTGGGGTTGATGCACCAATGTCCCTTGTTTTTTCTACATAGCAAAAGAGAAAGTAGGACATGTAAATGAGAAGGATTTTGTAGTGACAGGACCAACAGCCTTTCCATGCAACTGTTGGTGCTAAAAAGATGAGATTAGCACTTAATATGTATATGCCAAAAAAAGAAAGAAAGGAGGGAACCACATGAGTTGATGGGAAAAAAATGATAAGAAGAACACTATTCATCGCCATGAATGACAGAAGCATGGTGGCACAACGATGAAGGATGTAGACATGGGCACATTGTTTCTTGACTAAAGAACCACACTTTATTGTAATGCCATTACCTTTTCTCTTTGTTTCCATTATATTATGTTTCAAAATATGAAAGTAGAAAGATTTGAGGAAAAAAAAGCCTCACAGAAGTGGACCTGGACCTGAGAATCAAAGGGCAGGGGCAAAGATGCATTTATAGATGGGGTCAACATTGATAACAGATGATTGATTTGCATGGAAAGGAGTCAACGTTGATGGTTTTTGGCTTTTTGTTTAAACCTGAAGGAATCAAGGCCAAAGGGAGATGGAAGCTGACATTAATTGTACTGTACAAGAAAGAAAAAAAGAAACAAGATGAATTGCACGTAAATAAGATGGAGTAAAGGAGATGAATTGCATGTATAGAACGAACCACTTGTTCTCTTACACATGAATGAAAGATGTTGGAATGTTTTCAGCAGGGGAACTTAATTACCCCAAGTCAGATAAGAGATGCAATGTTTGACCCTATAAGCATATTATTATGGTTGATACACATCTCATAATTTTCAACTAATTGAGTTCACAGCCTTCAAATTTGAATAGAAATTCATATACCATTTTTGCTCATTGAATCAGAGTTGAACATAAACAGTATATCCCAAACTCGTCAACTTTCTAATTCGCAGAAAATAAATTTTGCATTGATATGAATCCCAAAAATGGAAGTATATCAATACACCAAAGTACCAAACCAAGCTTAAACAGTATATCCCAAACTCGTCATGTGACAGTATATTTGGTAAAGACACATTGGAGACACATAGACCCATGGTCATGTTTGTTTTGTTTCTGGTTTCGAGTCAAAACACATTCTAAAAATCTATCAAGTATCACATACCTGAATCTGGAAGTATCTTAAATCATGAGATATCTGCAAAAGGAAAATGAGCAATCTGAGAATTGTGTACAAACTCTGAAGGCTAAATATGTACTGAAAATAGTAAATTTACATTCCGGGCAAGATCTCCATAAAATTACAGGACGGAGGCAACACAATTGTGTACAAAGCTAAAGGCTAATGAAAAAGCTAAAGGCTATTGAATTGTTTGCAAAAGAAAAATGAGCAATCTGAGAATTGTGTACAAAGCTAAAGGCTAATGAAAAAGACAGGATGGAGGCAACACGTCAATGGGTTTCTTACAGGGGGCAGACCATTTCAAGAACAGGTTCGGTCATTTTCATTATGCTTCACCCTGTAATTTACCAATCTTAAAACTTCATTCAAAAAATGTTTTTGTCTTCAGTGAGAGGGATGATGTATTACAAAGAAGCTCTTGAACTTCAATGCTTCCTAGACTTTGCGGAGGACAATGGTTAGTTAAATTGTTGCATTGTGGATAGTTGGACTCATTTTTCACTTTTCTATTTCACAGTCTTCTTATTTAGTTAGTTATTTGTAAGTTATGAGACAAAAATTCATAATGCTTTTTTAAAGTTAAGATACTTATAATCAACTTGGCAAAGATACCATTGAGCTGCTCTTGGGAGCAAAATCCTAAGGGGCGCTAGTTGGTTAGAATAATAATTCACCAAGCATGTAATGTAAGCTGTGATACTATGTAATGTTTATAACTAAAAGAGAGAATCCTACGTAAACCAAGCATCAAAAGGGGCGCTAGTTGATTAGAATAAATAGTAAAAGACATAGAAGTATAACGATACATACTGCACAAATAAGTAGGAACCTAATGCAACCAACCACCGCTAACTACTCTTATTTCGTCTACACAGATTTTTACCGGCTACCGGACGGTTGATATGAATGACCACAGGGTTCTGAAAGAACGTGGAGAAGCATTGGCAGATCTGAAGTTCACCTATGTTGTTTCTTTCCAGATTTATGGTGCTCAGAAGAAATCCGGTGACAATAGAGATCAAAGTTGTTATGCTAACATGCTAAATCTGATGCTTACGTAAAAGGTAAGCAATAAAAGGAGCTCTGCAATTAAATTAAGCTTATATGACCTACCAAAAATGGAGTACAACCCAAACAGCAAAACCAGTAAATAACAATACAAAATCAGTAAATGAAGCATTTTAACAAACACTTGGCATACATAAGCAAAACATAAGCAAAACCCAAACAGATAAATGAAAGCAATACAAAATCAACAAAACATAAGCAAAACCCAAACAGATAAATGAAAGCAATACAAAATCAGCAAAACCCAAACATATTCTTGCCAATGGAGTACAATGTAAACATAAATTATAGGCTTAGGCTTAAGATTTTCTCACGAAATCAGTAAATAACAATACAAAATCAGTAAATGAACCCAAAACCCAAAACCAAAAAGCAAAACCCAAACATATTCTTGCCAATGGTGTTCACGAAATCAATAAATAACAATACAAAATCAACCCAAACAGATAAATGAAAGCAATACCTGAAATAGCAGATGGAGAGCGACGGTTGAAAGCGGTGATTGGGAAGGAAAGCAATACAAAATCAGCAAAACCCAAAATCAAAACCCAAACAGATAAATGAAATTGTTCATACCTGAAATAGCAGATGGAGAGCGAGGGTAACACAGGGAGGGACGATTGAACGACTCGGCGGTGATGATATGCGGTGATTGGGAACGACGATTGAAAGCGGTGATTGGGAATGACGATTGAACGATTAAAGGGAAGCGAGAGACGACTCTTAAAGGGAATCATCTTGGGGAGTGAAAGAAATCTTGAATCGTCGTCTTGGGAGCCGGGTAAGCAGAAGTGTCGTCTTGGGGAGGGAGCCGGGTAAAGGAAAAGTTAAAAGGATATACAAGGGTATTTTGGGTATTTAAAATTTTAAGACTTTAAGTAAATTTGCTTAATAAAGTAGTATAGATATAACGTTTTAATCGAAGAAAGAAGGAGACTGACGATTTCTTTTTCAAATTTGCATAACTCCTTTAAAATGACTGTTTAAGGAGAAAATGATTTTTATTATTCCAAAAATCAGAATTCTTTAATATAGTTGAAATAAATAATATTTTAATAATATAATTACTGTTATAATCTTTAAAATAAAAAAGATGTAATTAATATTTAGTTTTTTTATTTTTTCATCTGAATCAATGTTGAAAAATCTATTAAAAATGCTAATATTTATAATAACTATATAAAAATAATCAAGAACTTAAAAACATTTTCATAAGGAAAAAATCAAAATTAAGTATCTTTTATTGATTATCAAAGGGTAGAAATGTAAAATTTCAATAATTTTTTTGTCAAGAATGTTATATTTAATATCAAATGTGTTGAGAAAAAAATGTTTCTTGTAACGTATGTTTGGTCCAAATTATTACAACGCTTACAAAATATGGGTGAATGAGCAACAAATAAGCAATACTGATAATGGATACTGATTACAAATCCATAAAGAAGGGATTAAGGATCAGCTTTAGACGTGAGAGATTATAAAACTAGCCATGATCTATGATGCAGAATCAACGAGCCAACTGATGAAGGGCTTTTGATACCTTGGACTAGACCCACAAGAAACATAGCAAAATGTTATCGACAACCCAAAAACTAAAACAGTATCATCTTTGAACGCACTAAATCACAAGTTTAAAGTACAAAAATTGGACATTTTGGATTTTTCTATTGTTTTTAGTGACTTTAGAAATACAACATTTTTCTTTTTAGTATATAACTTTTAATTCGGATTTATATGTCCGTCCATTACCTTAAGAACGTTGGTCTTGATTTAAGTATTCTCACATCAGTTTTATTAACCGACGCACTGGTATTCTAGTATTAGTCAGATACTTTTGTTATTTTTTTGGAATAAATTAATCAATTTTAAGATTGGGGACGAATTAGATGACCCCGGATCTCCTTGGTACTCAAATCTTTACGTGATTAAAGAGAAACTTCAAAATAAAAGAACACGGTCTACTGTTGCTATCAGTGGAATGTTTATATTTTACCAGTCATTTGATGTGATAGTTAAGTTATTTAATTCGACAAGCATTTTTAAAAAATGTAAGATAAAATTCGATAAATCAAACTCTACCACTAATTTATTTTGTAATAATTATATCGAGCACAAAAATTAACATATATTTTAAAAAACTAGAAGGATACTCGTACAATACAACACGATACATCTTGATTTTAATGTTTCGTTTTTTTTTTTTTTTTTTTGTCTATGTTGATGTTATAACACGATTTTATGTGGTTGTGATAAAACGATAACGTTTTTATGTTTGAATAAAATATAAATTCAAATATCTCATAAAATTTTGAAAAAATATATCGATATTAGTATTAAATAAACTATCTAAAAGTTCACGTTTTTTTATATAATTTATTTAATTCATTTTTCATTATAATTTAATATAAATATAATAACAAAGTAATTTATTTTCGGGTTAAAAATATAATAATATATAAAGATAATAATTAAGTGTTATGTTATAACTCAAAAATTATCTTAATTATATTTTAAATTTTTTATATTTAAAATCAGATGTTTATCTTGTATTAGATTATGTTTATTTGCCGTTAGTTACACGAATTCAAAATGGAGTTTTAATAAATTGTACTTATGCACAATATGCTTGTAATCTTGAATTTTAAGTAATATGTATCAATAAACAATACTTGATGCATAAAAAATGGTTTGATAAATTCGTTATATAATTTTTTTTACAGTTTTATATAAAAAAACAAGTTTTGACATGAATCTTTGATTTCGTTATAAAAGTCGCCATTGATGCCTAGACCATCAAAGGAACTACGGTGAACGCAACGACGATGGGATTGATTATTATAGAAGTTTAATATAGGTGGCTTAATTATAACAACTTAAAAAGTACACCACCAAACTATGCAATTAAGTTCATTTACATCAAATTTGGTACAAAACACGTCGAATAATGAAAGAGCTTAATGACATCTTTTCATTAAATTTTATATTCAAAAATATCAAATGAACACAAAGGAAATAGGAGGTAAACCTTATTGTCATTTCATTTTCACCATTATTGTTTTTGGTAACCGTGAGTTTTCAGGCCAGCTTACGTGCATCGACTAAACCCTAGACGACCACGAATGATATGAAGATACTATGAAACTCGATGTAACATCATATTTTGGACAAACTTTTCGTTTGCCAGTTTGATTCATATTTCAGACGATGTTTGTTTATTTTCGTTTTTTTTTATTTTGAAGAGTGAATGCATTTGGGTTTGTGATTATTGATTTCTTTTGTCGTAATTTCTTCTAATTTTGTTGTTTTTCGTGGTTTGACTATGACTGCAACAATCATGATGGAGGGTATAGTGATGGCTCACGGGCAAGTGATGATGGTATGGTGCAAGACTGCAAGTGATGGTTATGATGACGATGATGACATGGTTTTCGTTCGTAGTATAGAAACGAGAGAGAAAACATGAGTTTTTACAACGGATTTTCTATCATCTTGTGTGCGGCCTTCTTTTAAATATTAATTAATGACCTTTCTTGCCTACTAAAGCTCGTTGCTTGTCAGACCACATATGTGCTTGCGTATATATCTATGTATGCATACTAAAATACGTAGTTGTGTCGGATTTTTTTCTTCTATAGTCGAGTTTGTATTGTTCAACATAATTTGCATCCATACCTAAGTAGTTATTCAAAATTGTCGTCTATCAAATCAATGAGCACACAATTAACAACCAAAATCCATCTTACTTTTATATATATATATATATAAAAGTTATATATATATATATATATATATATATATATAGGGTTGGGTTCATCTGACCAACTTGTTTTCGTGTAAGGCCACTTTTTTACATCTGAAACTTCACAGTAAAACGATGTGAAGATAATCTTCACAATGTTTTTGTTGTGAAGGTTCGGCTTTTTTTACCTTCACAGCGTATTGCTGTGAAGTTTCAAGTGTAAACAAATAGTCTCGTGGGTCTCATGAAAACAAGTTGGTCTCACGTGAATCCAATATATATATATATATATATATATATATATATATATAAAGAGAGAGAGAGAGAGAGAGAGAGAAAGATTTGAGATCATGTGAGACTCCGGGTTTTTCATGAGACCCGTAAGACCAATTCTCAACCCTTTGATTAGATCTACAATCTAAACATTCATAATTATAAAATTGCCACGAGATTTCTCAATAATCACAAATTGTCACCGTGCAACTTTAGACCATTAGATCGTTAATTTATAAAGTTGATCAATGGACATAAATTGATCTTACGGGTCTCACGAAAAATCTTTGGTCTCACGTGAACCCAACCATATATATATATATATATATATATATATATATATATAGAGGAGTGATCAAATAAAAACCGTCCTCATTTGTGTAAACCGTGCAAACCACCTTCATCCGTCGATTTCATTGTTTAATCTTATGAAATTTTTTCATGAAATTGTTTAATCTTGTGAAATTGTTTCATATAATATTTTTTTTGATGAAGTTGTTTCATATATGGTTGTGAAATTGTTTCATATAATACTTAATGAAACTGTTTCATGTATTTCTCTTAAATTAAAATAATGAAGATGATAATATCTATGATTCACCCTTCACAATAAAAAATGATTAATCAACCTCTCATAATTACAAAAAAATAAACAAAATGAAAAATTGTGATTGGTTGAATGAAGTTTGCACGGTTTGTACAAATTGAGTGGTTTGCATTTGATCGCTCCCATATATATATATATATATATATATATATATATATACTTGGGATCATGTGAGACCAACCTGTTTTCGTGAGACCCGTGAAACCAACATTTTACACTTGAAACTTCACAGCAAAATGCTGTGAAGGTGACTTTTTAAAACCTTCACAGTGTTTTTGCTGTGAAGGTTCGACTTTTTTTAAACCTTCACATTGTTTTTGCTGTGAAGGTTCGACTTTTTTTAAACTTTCACAGTGTTTTTGCTGTGAAGGTTACGTGTAAAAATGTGGTCTCACGGGTCTCACAAAAACAGGCTGGTCTCACGTGAACCCAACCCCATATATATATATATATATATAATTTGAAATAATAGTGATATATATAAAAGGATAAACATTGAAAGAGATTAAAAATACAGTGAAGGAAAATTAAATTTGTGTTTATCAAGGTGACGTAATACCCTCATTATTTCCATCCGTCTTCCTTAACTCATCTGCCTTTAATCATTTTTTAATCGAAAATATTCCACTTTTTTCCTCATTTATTATTTATTACCACAATAATATTTGCTTGCCTTTTAAAAAAAATATTGTGTAATTTCAAGAAAATAAAGTAATTATCAACAACAATTAATCAATTTTCTTACTTGAGAAATACATTATTTAGACAAAATGTTGATTACCAACAATCCTAATTGGTCCCATATAAAATCCGCCTCAAAATGCACCGATGCAAGGGGATATTTTTGCCTCATTCAACGGCTGAGAGTAGAAGGGGATAAAGAACGAATCCGTAACCCGTCTTGTATTTGGGCAAAAGATTCATTTTTTTAACTTAGAAACACATATTAATATTATTTTTGATCCGTGTGATTTTGTAATCGAATTAATGGTTGTATCAGCTAACGAACTTGAATAACGTATAGAGAAATAACATAAATTTTAGGTAAATTTATGTTTAGGTCGTTCTAGATTTTTAACTTTTTTTATTAACCTGGATATTCAACTCGTTATGCGAGCCAACTAATCCCATCGCATTTGAACTTCCATGACTACAAAGAGATTTTTATTTCTCCTTATATTTGAACATGGGATCTCCAAGTATTTTTGACATTTGGATCCAATCTCAAACCAATTAGACACCACCCCTTGTGGTTAGATTTTTAATTCTTATAACCAGTGAAATATAGTTTTTAGTTTATTAATTTATACATTGCTTCTTTGGTAAGATAACAACTGAAAATATCAATGTGATTCTTATTATCAAACTTAGCGTCACACTATCTTTCATAGTTACACTCAAGCCTGATGTTTATTTCATTTGTTATTTTCCGTTAGAAACTTTGATATTAATTACTGTATACGATGCAAAATTTGGCATACTGGAAAAAAGTATCGGTAGGTTAACAAGATCTCTAGTGCAAGGGCCAAGCTTGCATGATCTTACTCAATATGAGTTTGCCTGCTATTTCCTTTGTATAAGCTCACTAGCTTGCCTTTTTTGAGCTCGATTTCATCATCTAGTGCGTCTTTTTCAACAGAACGCACAGACTCCAAAGTACTCAATCGAATGTCATTTCGACCCATTTTATTGCACCAAAACATTACTAAACACACATCTCTCTCCCTTATCATATGCTTAAGGGACGGTTACAGTGATGTTTTTTTGCATAAATTTCAAGTGTACAGTCGTAACTTAATTCACTTATCAACTTGAAATCTAGCTATAGTAATTACTTGCTGTTATTACCTTAAGGTCTCTGTTTTTTGTATTTAAATCATACTATACTGCTACATATGTCTTACTATTCGTTCACATTAAATCATGACCTCTGTATATATCCTCACCTCCAATTCGTTGTTTTTGCTCCATAAATTCATTTCATGCTGCTATATTATCTCTGTTTTATAATTATTCATTCTTGATACTCTTCTCTACGAGTCTCTTTCTCTCTTTTTGCTCATGCCTCAAAGTAAAATACCCCGACCCATATTTTGACTTTTCAATATACGTTAAGCCACTTTATTGCCTAATCCGAAGCTCAATTACACAGGGGGCTTTTGGTTTGATGAAAAGGTTCAGATGAATTTGGATTTCGTGGAAGGATTTGGAATGTTTGATGTGTTTGGTGTTTAGAATTTGAAATGAGATTGGATTTTATTCTTTGTAAAACGAATTATAAATAATTATAAAAATAATTAAATTACCTTATTATTAATTGACTATTTTAAACATTATTATATACAAAATATTTCAAAACCCCGTGAAATTCCAACCACTCGGTGTGTTATTTCAAAATCTTATTATTAAAATATAGTTTTTTAATTATTATATACACATGAGCTAACATGTCGACATCTCTTTATTAATTGTTTTTTTTTTTTTTGTAAATAATTAATATATTGTTAAAATAATAATCTAATTCCTTTGAAGAAAATTAATCAAAAAAATCATACGTATTTTCTTATTACGAATTGGACGACTTTCGAGTTTCGACCCACTCAACTCAGTTGACATATTTTAGCTACTTTTTTAATATTACATATTAGAAATTAAATATAATTAAAATAGATACATTTAAAATACCGAGATGAAATTATCGCATCAATTAAATATGTAAATTATATAATATGTTTATCATTATATTTCATATGTCATTCCTAAACAACCAACGTATTAATAAACAATAAAACAACACTCGAGTTGATATAATTATATAAATACAACCAACGTGATTCAGTCGTTTTTTAATTTTTTATTTGGTATTGTTCTCGTATAACCTAACTTAATGTACGTATTTATATGTTTATGTATGTGAAAATAATTATTTTTTATATATAGATTTATTTAATTTCAAACTTGATATATATATATATATATATATTTATTTATTTTGCGATAATATTTGATAAATACTCTTTTTTTCAATTTAATGGTCTAAGTCCAAGGATTGACAAATTGTTCGTCAAATGACGTGGCATCCTAACAATAGACAGTCACCAATCGTAGTAATAATTATTGTTGAATTTATACTTCTTGCTCTACGGTAGCAATAAAAAAGTGAAAAAAATAATAAGCCGCTTTTTTCCGGAGGAATTTAAAATTATTGGTGTGTTTGATTTGAAAATTTGGAATGAAATTGAATTTCATTTTTTATAAATAATTTATAAAAATTAAAAATAATTAATTCACATTTTTATTAATCGATTATTACAAAACAAATGTTTTTAACATATTTTAAAATCTTATTTCATACAATCCTATGAAATCACGTAAAATCCTTAGCACTGCCTAAGTATTTCAAAATCCTGTTTTTTTAGGATTTCAAATAAATCATAGGATTTCAAATCCGAACAATCCAACAAATCAAACATGAATTAGAATGAATTTGAAATCCAAATCCATTTTATTCATGTAAACCAAACGAAACCTGAGGATTTTGGTCATACCTGTTTTCTAACACATATTTAAATATTTTTTGAAGAAAAAAATTAAATTGAGGGAATTATCTAAAATTCAATTTCAAAAGTGAAATAATCTCTTAATTTTATAGCTAATGAAATTGAATGTATTATTATTTCAATTAAAATTATATGTATATTCGTTTTATTGTATAATATTCATATAATTGTTTGATTTTTATTAAGTATTTGAAAGTAACTTTTAATAAAAATAAATAATGTCATAATATATTTGTAATGATAACAATATATGAACGTATAGCTCAGTTGGTAAAAGAACGTGGTGATTTTCCACAAATACAAGAAAGGTCCAGGATTTGATCTGAGCCCTTCATAGTTTCAACCGTTGAGTGAGCGAAAATATACCTTTACAGTGGTGTCCTTAAATACAGATTTAACATGAGGTTCATCGAAGTTGTCGGTCATCAACTTTTGCTCAAATGTACAAATACATATTTTCTTCATCAAATATTTCTCAAAAACAAATTGTTAGATGGAAGTTGTTTTCATTTAACGAGTTGGAGTAATCAAATTTGAATGATGTTATTAAGATCGTTGACTTGTACTTAATGCAATGTAAGTTGTACGCAATTAATATTTAAACATGTATTCAAATCAAACACGGAAAATTGGGCAATATATTTATGTAATTACCCTTTTACATCGTGAAATTACCAAACTAACCCTGGTGCAACTTACTTTCATGTCCTAAAATTACAGGATTTTACCGTAGCATATAGTGGAGAAGGGTAAAATGGTAAAATGCAGTATTGCTCTTAAGGATCCAATCGTAATTTTCCAACATGAAGTACCCAAGTAAAAATAACATCACCCATTAAAATAAAAATCGGAAAAACATAATTTCCTAATAATTTCTAAGAAATTTTTTAAAAATTTTTCCGTTCTAACCGTTTTTTGTTTTCTTGATGTTGTCATGAACAACGTCAAGCAAAACAGTGCTCTTACATTTAGGGCACTTAGGGTAATCCTCAGCGAGCATAATATACATGAGACATCGAGGACAGCCAACGAGCATCATGGACGTGGCCTCTGGGCTTGTTGGGTATCTGAGGCCAGTCTCATCCTGAACCAATTCAGACGACAAACACGAGCTTGTAGGGGACATCGATAGCGTTGTCGAATGATTTGGTGATTCGATCATCGGTCTGTGAGGTCGTGGTGGCGAGAGATTCAACTTCAAGTCGAGCTTCGGACCACCTCCACGGCCACCATTTCTCCGACTCATCGTATTCCGGTTTTGCCCTTTTGTATGTGTCTTCCAAAAACAGTACTAGTATTGTTAAGCTCTATCTTTACACAAGTCAACTCCTGAAGATCAAAACATCAAAAAAGTCAAACTTGGTGATCAAAAAATCATAGAACATGAAGTTTGAGCATAAGATGTATATATATATATATATATATAGTCAGAACAACCCTGATCACATGATAGATGTTTACCTTCAGATTGGCAACTCCTTGGAGAGAGAGAGGGAGATAGAGAGAGAGAGAGAGAGAGAGAGAGAGAGAACTAGTGGTGAGATGGGGTTGTTGGTTTGGAGCCTCAAAGACCATTTATATATAGGAAACCATTATATATAGATATACATATATATAGATATAGATATAGATATAGATATAGAGAGAGAGAGAGAGATGTGTAAATTGAGGGTCAGGAAATGAATTAATTGTTGGAAAAATCCCAAGATCGGTGCAGAAAAGGGAAAATTGTAGTAAATATTCGATTACAAAAGAAATTGCAGATGAACCCTCTTCATTCATTGCTTAGTCATTACTCATTCACAACACCACCACCACCACATAACACACACACACACACACATATATATATATATATATATATGATACCATGGAAAGAGATGTATACATACAGTGGTAGATCCAAGAATTTTGGTGACGGGTCGAAGTTAAATAACATAATACACTACGATACTAGCTAGGTGGTTTTCAACTATAAATTTAAACAAAAAGTTGATCACTGACAACTCCAATCGGTCCCACACGAAACCTGACTATGAGGCTAACCAATGTGAGGGGAAATTTTTTGGGCCACTCTACGGTTGAGGCTAGCGAAAGGGCCCATGATAAAATCTGAGACCTGTCTACAAATTTAAGGACGTGTCTTTTACGTCGGTAGTCGGGATTCTTACTTTTAGATCCATTATTCAGATAATTACAATCCCAATCAAAAGAAGTTTCTAGCTCACTACAAAGAGGATGATCATTGTCAATCTCAAAAATATGTTTATCAATTTACGATGGATCATCGTGGGCTTACCGTTAATTTGGACTTTCTTTTGTTTTTACTGGTAATAGTCAATCTGATGGTGATATGTTCGATAAAAGACTAAAATCATGGGTGGATGACCTAAGTGTCATTATTTTTTTTAAAGTAATTAAATAAATTGAAAAACAAAAAATGAGATAGCCATGGTTGATGGCTTAATGTTATACAACATTTCAACAATAATCACATCAAAGCTATTTAATTTTGGGAGTAGCCATTTCAATCTAAACATGTGGCTTCTTTTGTTTTTAGGTGAAAAAAAGGAGATTCATTTCCAACACCAATATTTCATATAGATTATGTAATGAATCAGGGATTTCTGGATATCTCATCTGTTACGTGAGCCGACTAATCACAAGACGATCATCTGCTTTGCGGGAGTCACCGCATTTGAACCTCTGTAGCCACAAGGAGGTTTTTTATTCCTCACTGGATTCGAACATGGGACTTACAGACACTTTTGACCTTTGGAGCCTAGACTTAAACCAATCGGGATTTGTGATTTTGTAACACACATATATAACTTTAAATGTATACATGTACCACACGTATACATATAGCATTTGCTAACCAAGATACTGACTCATTAAGAGTGAAGCAACTTACTTATTTTATAAAATCGAACATCTTATCTGATTCTTTTTAATAAACAGCCCCTTAGTTTTCATTTCGTTATGCTATCATATAGTCACGGTTGGGGTTTCAAGTGGATTTGTAGCGAATAATGAGGATATGTGTTGTTGTGACGGTGGCACGATTGTGGTTCGGTGAAACATTTTTTTTCAATCATAAGTTTTTTGTATTTACAGTCGAGCTAGTTTAATTTATAAACTCATACCTTTTATTAAACCAATTGTACATATTTAGCTTAGAAGTTTATAAAGGTGACAATTTTGTATCAAACCAAACCAACCGACCAACATGTGTACTAACAATACCAATTAAATCGGTACCAATTTAACCAATATCAATTATAGTTGGTTGACAGTACTGTATCAAGTATGCAAACTTGGTTAATACATTGTATTAAAAGTTGCATACCAGTACCGATTTATTTAATTATTTTTGTATTTTTTAATGTATTAAATATAAACATTGTAATTAACTATTTTTTTTTAATATTTGAGTATTTGCAATCTTTTATTCTCTGGAATTAAATACCTTGAAACATCATATGCACTACTGGAAAACTCAAAATATAAACAAAATAGCATGATTTCATATATGTTAATTGAAGTTGGTATCAAATACAGTTGGTTGATATATGATATAAAATTCTATGTACCAATTATAATTGATTGATATACAGTATTGAAAAAAAAAATACTGATAGAAATTCATATATTACCTCAGTTTATGTTATTATATGATATAGTAATTAGATTTGATATACATAAAAAATGTCATAAAAGTGTAATTATGTATTGAATTAAATAGCTCTGATGGTAGCATACATAAATTAGGAGAAATAAATATGTAGTCTAAGAAATTAAAGAAGTGTATGGTTGGATTTGTTGGAAATTTACTTTGAGATTTAAAAGCATTTAACATACTCATCAGATTATACATTTATTACTTAACATGCATACTTAAATACGTACATTAATACGTCGTACCATGATCTAATCTAATTTAACCAAATGCTGTTTAAAATCGATGAAATAAGATTCATACATGAATAAACTGTGATGTCGGTTCACATCTGCATTTTCAAATAGAATTTTTCACATTTTTATGTGATTCACGTATGAAACTTACATTTATTTAACATTCTTATTTGAACCTACCCATGTTCCAGTATTTATAACATCAGTAACTAATAACGACAAAATAGAACATTTATCAATATTATAATAAGAACCATAATATATATATATATATATATGTATATATATATATATATGTGTGTGTGTGTGTGTGTATATATATATATATACATACTAGAAGGGTACTTGTGCAATGCAGCGAGATAAATCTTCAWTTTAATGTTTAGTTTTTATTATTTGTCTCTATCGATATAAATACGACTTTATGTGGTTTTGAGAAAGTGATAATGTTTTTATTTTTGAATGAAATATAAATTTAAAGATAGCATAAAAAATTAAAAAAAATCGATATTAGTATTAAATTAACTATTTAATAGTTCTCGTTTTTTTGGTGTAACTTTTTTAATTCAATTTTTTATTATAATTTAATTTAAGTCTAATAACAAAGTAATTTATTTTTAATTTAATAATATAATTTTTATTAAAGATAATAATTAAACATTCGGTTAGAAACTCAATAATTATCTTAATTATATTTTTGATTTTCGATTTTTAAAATAAATGTTTATCATGTATTGATTATGTTTATCTGCAGTTAGTTACACGAATTTAAAAATAAAGTTTTAATAAGTTGTACTTACGCAAAATCACTTGTAATCTTGAATTTTAAGTAATACGCATCAATAAACAGTACTTCATGTATAAAAAATGGTTTTTAAGAGTTTTTGTCAAATGTTTTATGATATAGTATAGATATTGATTATGTAATATCAGGTAAACAAAAAAATATATCGTAATTCAAAATTAATTATATAATATATGTACTAAAATTTTGGAAAAAAAGGAATAATGGTGGTAGTTGAAGCTTTTATACAGCAAAAACCTAACTAATATATTAATTAAAACCAGTAAACCTAATTTCATTAATACATTATTTGATGTAATTAAACTATTGATGGTATATTTAATCTAATTAAGTTTTTATTTATATTTATTATTTAATTTCATATGATTTTTTTTAATGCCAAATATTAAAAAAATTGCTAGATTTTATAATTTGTATGATTAAAATAATTTGAATAAATAATGAAAATAAAAACAAAATAAAATAAAATTGTAGTATATGTAATTCGACTCGGTTAATTAAAATAGCGTAATGACCATGTGATTTTGACCCGATTCAAGTCGTTAAATCATAAGTTATCTTTGAGTTAACACGTAGTAACGAGTTGTTATGATTTCGGTTTGGTTGGTCTGCACCATCATGTACGATTTTATAAAATTCGGAAACGAAATCAGATATGTAACGTTCTGCTTTTTAAATTTTGTTTGTAGAGTTTGATCGAGTTTGTGACAAGTTTGTATTGAGTTATTTGGCCACAATATCTGCAAAATATCTACATAATAATGTCTATAGCTGTGAGCCAACTTATGCTAGTTAAGAACCAACATAAACGTACTTGGACATTACATTATCTTAAGTATAGCTGCTATTGTTGATTGGATGACGATCAATGACTAATTCCATTACACAGTAATACGTCTTTAATTCAAGTTTTCACATAACAAAAATCAGAATTCAGCTCAAACCCTGATATAATATTTAAAAGGATGAGGCTGGCTGGCTGGCTGGCTGGCTGGCTGGCTAACTGAATTTCAACACTTTACCATCTAAATTACAACACTATATATGATGACAACCAAATCACCACTGCACCGGCGTGTTCTGATTCTTGTAGATTTTTAACACGACATGATTTCGTTATTCATATTACGTGGTTGGTTTTTCATCACTCTGGATTACTGTCGTTAAAAAAAAGCTATTTTCATTTTTATATGATATTTTTTTTAAATTAGATATTTATAATATATATTTAAGAAGGTGTTTGACTAATTTGAAAAATATCAAAGTTGAAATTAAATACCCCACAAAGGCTATGTTATCATTTCCAATCTCAAGGTGACCAATATTTTCTTCCTAAAAATTGTGAAACAAAGAAGGCACCAAAATGGAATGGGCATGCTCATTTGGGGCTAATATTTATATATAAAATTAAACTAATTAAACATCCCATAAATTATATCTGAATTATAGCATATTTTAAGTCAAGAATATAATACCAGACTTTAAAATATCATATATAAAAATGTTACAATAGGTTTATAAGACACTTTTAAGCGCTTTAACAAGACTCTTAGAAACGTTTTAAAAATAAAATGTCGTATTAGTACTTTTATAAGACACTATTTGAAAAAGTGTCATACACAAACAAATGTTTTATAAAAAGATGAGTTTATAAGACACTTCTTAAAAGTATCATATAAAATAACTAATACCACACTTTATTTTAAAAACGTAATAACGCCTAATACCACCATCTGTATTTTAAAGTTTAGGGTATATATGTTTTTGGTTTACATTTTCGTAAGATAATATCCAAAAGTATGAATTATTAAATATGATAATAT